TTCTCTACATACTATTTTTCTTATAGTTTCTCTGATAATAAGAAACGAAGAACGAGCAATCAAGATCCAAACCCATGATCTCTCAACTCCCAAAGAATCCCAACGTGTAATGGAATAATAATGGAATAATAAGAGGCTCTGTGTAGATTTAAAAAATCTTGCCAAAGTAAAAAAAAAGTGTCACAGTTCGACATTAATTGATAATCCAAACCGAGTGGTTATTATAACGAACCACGTGTAATTAATTTACGATAGACGCGCGTTACACGAGATAACGCCGCTCGTATTTATTGATTAGGATTTACATCATTGGCCGTGGTCGAATTAATTACGTTTGAAGTGGTCGAGAGCCACGCGTCCACGGCTTGGGACGCAATTAAACGACACGGTTGATTAGCCGTGAATCTGGGAGGGATGGGGAGATCAGGCGAAGTTTCGCTCGATGGTTTTAACAGTCGAGAGGCTCGATTGAGCGCAACGCGAAGGCGTGATCGTAGAAAATTTGCTCTGCACCGCTGTATTGGCCGTTCCATTGTTGGCGCGTTCGAATCGAAAGAATCGGAATTGTTGGAATTATCTATCGCGCGATGGACAGTAGATAAAACGTGGCACGTGATGTAATTTCTTTTTATTCTCCTTGAGACTTCTATTTGTTATTTCTTTCAGACATATGCGAGATATCTGTTTAGATGATACGAATGAAGGCTTATTTTTGAATCTCTGCGATCGATAAAAGAAGATGTGTTACGAAGTAATTTGTAATTTCAACGAAAATATTACTCAACAATACAGACGATCTATTTTATATTTTTGAACGAAGAACAAAGAAAGAGAAACCAGCGAGAGAGGTTATCCTTTGTGCACGAAATCTTCGAGTTGAAGAATCGTGAGAATCGTGAGAAAGAGTTATGTTGCAAACGAACTCGTTATTTCTTGCGATTCCAGTCATTCTAATATCAATCTAAAATTCTGCCCATCCCTTAATTAAAAATCGATTCCACTTGGTCCTCCATTCGACGAACTACGAATCCTTGAAATTCGTTTTCATCGCGTGCATTCGCAGGCAGCGCCCCATTCCAAGAGGAAAAAGCATCAGGTGGAAGCGGAACGACGTTTCCCTTTCCAATTTCAAACTATTTCATATTCAGAGGGTGCTCGTATGATATTCAGAGACATTAGCATGTAAAGGGTGTACCAAGGAAGGAAAAGTGAAGAAGGGTGGCGCGGGACGACGCTTGGGGAACACACTGGTAGCAACCATCCAGCTGTACTGTAATAATCCCATTAGAGACGGGGGATGGGGTTAGATTATGGCTGTACCGCCATTTATTCGATCAGATTCAACTTTCGTGTTTTCCGTTTCTCTAAAGAGAAAGAAAAAACGAATGATTATGACAGTTAATTAAAAGTATATGTAGAATGTATCGAATGTTGCCCATGGATCTTGTCCTACTTTTGTAAACTTCGAATATTCAAGGATGGAAAATTTTTTGTTTTTGTTTGTTTGAATGCTGTAATGTTTACAATACTTATAATATATTAACTCAAATACAGCAAGTGACGTTCATCATATAATAGTATTCCGTACTATTTATTCTATTTTTCTGAATTCAAAAAACTGATTCACAATGTTTTAATTACTTAACTATGATCGTTTAATATCTTTATACTAATTGTGTGTCCATAATTAGTATTATTCGTTCAATTACAATTTTAAGATCATACCATAATATTCCATCACGTTTGACTTATGTTTAATTGAAATATTAAATTTACATACTAAATGAAACGTAATCTTTTCCTCGTTAAAGGTCCAGAAAAATGATTCAAAGGATGTTCTCTAAGTTTCGAAAACTCGATTCCCATGCATAAAGTAGGGATGGTCGATGATCAGAGATGGTGAAAATATCGCGGGATAAACTGTTTTCCATCCGATTTTGATCCGGAGCTGCCATCCGCGATAGGAACGGAGATTCCGAAATTTATGGTTTTCATTTCTTGGCTCGGTTCGGACGTGTTGCTTGGCCCGCACGTGACAAACATATTCAAAGAGGGGGAGGGAGGCAACATTCGTGATTTTAAGAGGAACAACACGCTGTAATCTGGACCCACGGTTTCGGTTGGTGTGAGCTTCGGCTTCTCGTAACACGTGGCGCAGGATTTCATATCGCGTTCCAAACATGCATCCCCTCTTGTGATTCTCTTCCTCTCGAATACGTGCCGAGACGAGAAAAGTTATACCCGTTTCTTAGTTGGAATATTAGAGCACGGTTTAGTGATAGAATTTTGTACTAGAAAGATTTCTAGAAAGTAATATTCTCTCTCTCTCTCTTTTGGATTTCTTATTCCGTGGATACGAACTTTTCCAAGAAGTAGTGTAAGAAAGGATTCTTCCAGATATCAGTAATGTTTTTGTGTACTTAATATCTGCTTATAAGTATTATCAATTTTTTGGCATCTTGAGTTAATATAAAAATATAAATGATTTCGAACATTGTTTCGACAATGATATTGAAAAAGGGAGAAAGAGAGATAGAGAAAGAGAAAATATAAATTGATGGAGAAAAAGAGGTAAAACGATTCGTTTGATACATGCAAATTTATTAAATCCTCGCATTCAACCGGGATGTTGAAGTCAAAATTATTCCAAAATTATTCCTCGTAAAATCATGAACAGGATCTAAAGGATGTGATCTTCAAATTTTGTTATTAAGTTTATTCCCCTACGTCGGTTGAATTTACATACTAGTTGAAGTTTCCAACTATGTAAACTAGCCCAATCAACGTTGAATATCTCAAATTGGTAGAAAATTTATTCGAAAATTATTCGTGCCCGATGTATCAATCTTTCCAATCAATTTCATCACAACATTTTTCCACACTTTCGCAAACCGTATTTTTCCAAATAAATACATAATTAGTTTTAAAATGGATACGAGGTAACGAGAAGCTGGTAACAACAAGCGTACAGCTCCAATTATAACTGATTCCTCGAGCGTTCCCTCGAGATCGTGGCCACGATACAAGCATCTCGTTAATTATCCTTTAGGAACGCAGTTCTCGAAACTATGACTCCCTCGACCAATGATCATAATTGGTTCTGCGGAGTTGGAAGGAATAAGAAGTGAAGTGCAACGAAGCGAACACGGCGAATTATAATCGCAACGATGTCTCTGGAAGATCTGGTGCTTTCCCTTGGGAAAGCCGCCTCCTCTTTTCAATGCAAAAGGAATATCGACGAGAGTCGAATCGAGCATTGTTCACACGAAATCGATGTTCACGTGACTGAACACGAAAGAAATCGTTCGAAGAAATCGATTTCTCCTTTAAACGACAAAGAAGATGACTCTTTCGTCTTACTTCGAGACTGTTGGTTGATACAATTGTTGAAAGCAACGATAAAGATGGAGGGATGAATTAATTTCCGGATTGAAAACTCTTGGATATCAGGCTGATTAATCGAGAATTAAACTATAAATCCTGGTTGGGATGAAGCGAATCTGATTGAAGATCATCGATTGATTTTCGTGCACAATGTATAGACGGTGATAGGAGTTTGATTGGATAGATGGCGTGACCGAGTTAAGGGGATTAAATTATGTTTGGAGAAAGAAGCGGAGATTCATCGTGGTGAAAAGTTTCATTGATAACGAGATAAAGAGGATAGGAAAAAATGAATGAGAGAAATTTGCTGGAATTTAGGTGAAATGTAAAATGTAAATGTGGAACGGAATTTAAAACGGTAATGAGATCTGGAGATAGGGAAGGACATTGGAATCTTGAAAGAATTTCACGAGTTAGATACTCGTTTCGTATATATTATAAATCGCAGATTAAATTTTCTTTTCCTTTTCCTTCATGGCATATCGAAGAACACATTTATCTTTTTTTTATATATGGAAATATAATTTAATCAATTAAAATGATGTAAATCCATCATAACATTTCTATTCACAAGATTGTTGCAAATGAAGCCAGAAAATTTTTAATACGACTATTGACTTACATTACAGTTTTATTGAGGATAATATTAAAAAATTCTGTCTCCAAAATTCTACCAATAATTTTTCGTATTTATAAATTTATATATATAGAACATGTACATCATAATAGAAATTAGAAATCCCATATTTTTTCAAAGAATTAACAATTTCATTATATATTTATATTTAATGTCGATACACGTGTCATCTCAATTTCAAATTAAATTTTATTCTTCCCTCTACCGTAATAAAACGTCTATTTATATCGTTGTGATAGCATAATTGAATTATTTTCTCCTTTTACTCCGCGTATTTCCAAACGAAAACCGGATGAAATCAGTTTTGTATAAAGAAATAAAGCAATCCGCAGGAAACGTCTCGTCGCTTCTCCTATCCTCCTTACATGCGTAACAGGATTATTGGCCGATTCCACGCCCCGTGGAAAGTTGCTCGACGAACAGGGGACCAGCTGGCAGGTCCCCTGGGAGGTCGAGCGAAAGCAATTGCTCTCCGCATCCGCGTCTCATTTCTGCTCGAACCGCGACCGTGACGAAGAGAAATTCGGACTCGGCTCGTGGGTAAGGTTATTATCCTTGTGGCGTGGAATGGAGAGGGGAGGGGAAGAATAGCGGAACGGTGAGGGCGGAAGGAAAGGAGAAAAATAAATAAAGAAAGATTTGTGAAAAATTCTTGGTACTGAATAACTCGGTACCTAGTTTGAATCTAGTTAAAATTTTTCCTGAGTGAGGAAAATTGTGAGGATGATTTGTGTATCCTTGATTTAAAATTCTGAAACGCGTGAGTAAGAGGGATTGGAGAATGTTATCGTATAATATAAATATAAAGTGAAAATTTGGATTAATTAGAATAATTTATATACTTCAAGTAAATAATTATTTTTTAATTAAGAATTCGTTGAACAATCGAATTCGACGATTAAGAAATAATTTTTTTCAAATCGTTGATAATAAGTCTTGTCATTTTTCGATCAAGAAATAATACGATACATTTTTACAGGTTGAACAAAGAACATTTTGATGTTGTACGCGAAGGAAGTGGGGCATTGTTACGAAATAAATAAACTCGATGGACGTTTTTTCGAAACGACACACTTCTGGATGGGAACACTGTTATTTATAGTCGAGCAACTTAACCGATACGGTTTTGCGTTATTTGGAACCTTAGGCTGGGCTGGAAGTGACTTAGAGAGGCGGTAGAGGTAAGTTTAAGAAACATTGAAAATTGTGGCGACACGAAATTGTCGGTTGAAAGTTTCTCGAAGATGGTCTCGGATAAACTTAAATTACTTAAGCAATTTCAGAGAGCATGGTAGACTTTGTTCTTACTGCTACTAATTTTCGGCCATTTTGTATTTTTCAGTCTTCATTTTCTTCCGAAGATATATTTTTATCTGGGATCAATAAAGTTAACGTGTAACAGACAATTTTAGCAATACGCTGGTAAAATTAAAATTTGATAAATTTTGGAAAAGGGGAAAAGTTTCGAAAGATTTGATTGAATTCAAGAAGATAGATGGCGAATCGATTAATTTAATGTAAATGTTTCGTCACTGCTATTGTCACTCAAATCTCATCTCTCTTCTGAAAGGCATTGCCAACGAAGTAAATCGAGACAATGGAACGAATCACTGCTGAATTATCAATGCAATGCACTTTACTAAAGTTCTCATTAATCGAAAAGTATATCTACGAGAGGAGTAAACGAATTTCTCTCTTCGATTCAATCTAATTGTTATATGCTCTATAAAATCTCGATCTATTTATCTGTTAAACTATCCAACACGTAGCATCGTCATCTAATTGATATCACGTAATTCCACGATCAAAGAAGTATAAACTCTCCCACTTTTCCATTCCACGATCAACAAACGATCAACTTTAAAATTAATTTAAACCCGCCGCAGAACTCGTTTTTTATCTCGTCCCAAACCAACTCGAAGTTGGTTGAAGACCGTTCACGCAACTTTTACCCAGCGAAAAAAAAAAAGCCGACCAGATTCCAATCAATTGTCCCCCTCCGGATGCAAGCGTTTAATTGCATCGCGGATAAAAGCGGCGGATCCACGGAGCAAAAAGCAAGATTAATCGGGATCCGTTCACGCGATTTATCAACCGCCTGTATTCGACTTCGTGCTCAATTTCTCCCGGCAAAACGATCGAACGTTCCTCGAACGTCGCTCGCCGTTTCTTATCACCATATTCACGGTCTTGCGATCCTCCAATCAACGGTCCTTCCTTCGAGAGGAGGGAGGATGTTGGACAAAGATCGTTTCGAACCGCAGAATTTGAACTTTCGAGGTGGATTAAGTTGTTTCGGGTCGCGTGGTGAAGGCATGGATAGGGACTTATCCTCGACTTTGGTGGTCGAAATGTACGAGATCCATTAAAGGTAACCGGATAGACTGGTTGAATGCTCGAAAACACGCGTAGGAACGTAATGGTGAGACTCGATCAGAGACGAAGTTCGATCGGGAGACTGGTTTGAGTTTATGCGCTTTTGCCTTGTGCGGTTTGGTCACGAAACTTGATTTCGAGCTTGGAACGGAGGAATTTGGGGAATTTGATAATAAAGGAAGGATTTGAATGTGTGATCGTTCATTAATAAATAATTGTTTCGACTTGATTAAATAAATGAAACGCGTTCGAATATTCGAGTGTTTGGAAGAGGAAAATATATTATGCAAAGTATATCTCTATGTGAGAATGAAGAAACTAAAAATTTACTTTACGAGGAAGAAAGAGAAAATCACCAGCTATTCGAGTCACTTTTTTGTTTTATTTCGATATCTCGATCGAGGAAAGGGAGACTAAAAGTATCCGCATTTAAGATTTCAAAGATTAGGAATGGAGGTCATGGCCTAGTGACTTATATTTTTTCCTAGAATCACATTTGTCACTTGTCTGAAGTCAGGGAGAATAAAGTGCAAGCGAGAGATCCGAGCAAGAAACGGAAAGACAATCAAAAATTACTTTTTCTTTAGAAACGACGATATTTCATGAACTAGAAATCGTATCGAAATAAATAAAAAAGAGTTTTAAAGGGTAAGATTTCACGCTTCTAATAATTTTCCACGTATTAATTGAAAATCATTATCTTCGAAGTTATAACGATTTAAAGTTTTCTTAATTTTAATAGGGGGTTTAATCGAGTTTTAAGATAAATTATGTTCATTGTTGAAAGAATATTATTTGTAGTGATCTATTAATGATATAAAAATTCTCTGATTAAAATAATTTGTATCTTTGATTTATTCTAATTTGATAATTTTATCTATTAGTTTGTATATTTGGATTTTTAATTCTTTTCCTTTTGTTTCACACTGTTTGATAACATAAAGAAAAAAGACTTGATCTTTGGAATTTATTTACAGTAAATATCCGGTATTTGGAAATAATTTCAAATTTTTTATTTAAACTAACCTTTACATAACTTGTAATTAATTTTTTTTTTTTAGGAAGAAGAAATCCATTGATAAAAGTGTAATATTATATAATTACCAAAATATGCATATGAGTTTCATTCACTGAAACTAAAAACACGTTTCTAATCCAGTTCTAGTGCAGCACGTGAATAGAATCGGTTGGCAAATTCCGTAGCATCACGATTGTATTTCTTATGAGCATATGTTGCTCCTTGTTTTCTTTCATTGCTCGCGATATTACATTTGAATGCGTGAAATTTGAATTTCCCTAAAACTAGCTTATGTAACATATGTTAACAAAATTGCATTATTGGTAATATGCATTATGAAATTGTATTATTTTGTTTTTTGTATTTATACACTAAATATGGCAACAATTATAAAATCTATTCAGTTATATAATAGAATCTTCATCGTCCAATAAAAAGACAAGAGAACTTTAATAATGGATAATGGAATGCAGATCTTTCTTAAACAAAAAAGTAAAACACGTTTATTTATAACAAAACTAGGATACCTTCGGCTTGCACAAATTCTTGGTACGTAACATTCTTCAAAATCTTGAGATTTCTATTGAAAGATAAATAAAAAAATGTACTCCTTGCAAATAACTTTTAGTTTCATTCTTCTTTTTCTTAATGTTAATGACTATTGCGTCTAATATTATATCCTTTTGCAATTGTATAGCACACTCAGTGCTTTCTAATTTCTTATATATTTCTCAGTACATTAATTTCAAATTTAAGTTTTATTTTGCAAGGATGTATATTAAATAATAAAATAATAAAATTTTCAATTAATAGAACATTCCAACGCTATTCAAAAGTCGTCTACGATTAAAATTGTATCACAATGATCGTTGTATAAGTAAATTTTTATCATTCGCTTGTAATTTGGATATAATTTAATTATAATTTTGTGATATAAGGTATAAGGTAAATTGTATAAAATATTTCACCGCTCGTTTCATATCTCCGTGACAACTATATTACAATTATTTTGCACATTTCGCCCGAGCGAGTTTCAAAGAGTAAATTTAAATGTCCCGGGACAAACTCAGCAGGAAGGTACACAGCCTAACGGAGTAATTTAATAAGTAAAACGTCGCGTTGGCAATTCGGTACAAATGTAACGAGTTCCCTCGCTTCTTGAAAGTTCAACCATCCGAACAACTTAAATTCTGTTGCCGTAAATAAAGTCGACTCTTAATCTCAGGATGGCAACTTTTGTCGGGGATAACGTTTCATGAAGTCCACTGATGAACTGTTACACTTCATTTGTAATATTACGAAGCCACGATCTTTGGATTTTCAGATACAAAGAATGTTGTACGATATAATTGATATAAAAGTAAAGTTTTTACGGTGAATTATTAATTGAATGATCGAATAAAAACCTCGAAGGATTAATTTTATCCCCTTGAAATGATATTTCACTGATAAAAATTAATTGTTTCGTGTATATAATCCATATATTCACAATATTTCGTGAAAACAAACAAAAAAAATCTCACAGAAAAAAGAGAAAAGAAGAGAAAATGAGCATAGATAAATAAGCACGATGGGACAAGTGAACTATAATAAAAGACATTAATAATTATTTCATAATAATTATTACATCGTGTGAATGATATAATAAAATAGCTACCAATTTTCTTTTCAACGTTAAATTATTTAACGAATTTGAATGAAATATTATTATAAATTTTAATCGTTATATTTTAAAATTTTTTTCAACCGTTCGTCAAAACAAAGCGTATTAAAATCCAAAAAGTTTTCCATTTTAAATGCATTTATTTTTCACCAATTTACACCGTCGTCACTCAATCCGAACGAATGAAATATTTAAAATTCACAATACTTTGTGCAACCCTCTGACGCATATAGTAAAATTAAAATCATTCTCAATCCGATTAAAATCCCTCCTCTCCCTCGAAGCCAACATAAAATCACAGAGACAGAAAATATTTCAACCCCCTTTACCTGTTCCTCCTTTTTTTTTTCTTTTACAGAAGAATTACCTATCCCTTTTCCACCCAAGCAATATCCAATCTTTTCATCCTTCAATCCGCAAATTTCACTTCCATAAATTTCCACCTTGGAGGAAAACCATTTCGTTCGTCGTCCAACTCGAATTCCCTCCTCCTCGCCCTCCCAAAAAAATAAGTTGCACTCGTTCCTCCCCTGCTCAATCGTGGACTCAGACGAAACCACCCCCGGAGCAACGACACGCGATAAGCAGAGATCGTTTTCCCTTCGAAAACTATCTGTGTAGCCATTCCAGGGCGGCGCGTGAGTGGAATCAATTGAAGGGTTGGAAAAGGGGGTTGGAAAGCCTCGTCCAAGTTCCATTAAGCTCGTGAAGATGCACGGCCTTCGCAGTTCACTCGGTTAACCCTAAGACGAGGCGCGTGCACGTGCCGCTAGTTGCAAGACGATCGACTAAGTTTCGTGAAACTGTGGATGGGAAGGCGAGCATTTTCGGGACAATGACTGGTAATTAAGATCGAGAATGGCCGAATTTCGTGAAACTGGAGTTGCGCGACTGGAAATCGATATTATTTAAGAAAAGAAAAATAAATTGGAACAATGGGATGATAAATTCGAATCGAGAGAGAAATGATTGAGAAATGATTGAATTGTTGTAAAGATGTTTTTATTATTTCTAATTGTTTTTTTATCTTTGTACATGATATGATATAATGCTACGTGTTTAAGTGTGAAGTTTCAAAGATTCCAAGCTTTGGAGTTCTGAATCTCGAGTTACATGCCCTACGG